CCCCCCCCCCCTCTCCCCGCGACGCTCGTAAACGCTGTACCCCCCCTCACCCCGCGGCGCCCGAAAACGCTGTACCCCCCCTCACCCCGCGGCGCCCGAAAACGCGGTATCCCCCTCTCCCCGCGGCGCCCGAAAACGCGGTACCCCCCCTCTCCCCGCGGTACCCCCCGCGGGCGGGTACCCCCCCGCTCCTCACCCCCCCTCGGAGCCCCTGGGGTAGAACTCCCATAGCTTACCTACTCCTCTCTACTTTTGCAATCTATATCTCTTTCATATTGCAAGGATACTTTTTACTAAGTTCAAAATTAAATTTGCATTTTACACTTATCTATATTTTTGCACGTGAAATGTAGCCAGGTATTAGGCATAAACAAATCTGATAAATAAATTGAAAATAGGTTAAGCACGTTTCCCGTGTTGATAAACTATTACGTAATGCGTTCCGAAACCACCACATATTCTACGTCTTACCCCCACTCTCCGGCAGCTAAACGATATACAGTTTTTCGCTTTTTTTGGCGTGATCTAACAAACGTTTTAATTAGTATATTTGGAACTAACAAACTATTCCGCATCGATTGACCACGGTTTGAATCGAAAATTGTAAAGAATTCTATATTTACCGGCTAAATTAACACTAAAAATTATTTTCGTGATTACGTAAAAAACTATTAACTAACAAACGTTCTAATTAGTCTAACAATCAATAACAAACGACTAACAATCGATTCGTAAAAAAAAAATGTCGCAAGTCAAAATTGTCCCGCTAACTTCTATGAGGTCATTGTGCAAGGGGCTTTAGCTTTTAATCTTACCAACCTAAAACAACTTTAAAATTGTGCAGTGTAGACGGACGACCGTAACTCCGGTAACTTAGCCGGTCAACTTCGACTTTATTAATTTTCATATTTTTTTATCGTTTGTTGGTCGTTTGTTGGTGATTGTTGGTCTAATTACAACGTTTATTGGTTCTTAATTTTTTTTTAAATTTAAAAAGAAAAATTAGCATTAAGTTAGCCGGAAAAATTGTATTTTTAATTTCAAAAAAGCCTAATCGATGCGTAATCGTTTGCTGATGATTGTTGGTCTAATTTTAGCGTTTGTTGGTTTATTATTAGTCTTAAAAACGAAAAAAAAACGAAAAATTATCTCACATATTAAAGTAATCGAAGATTGGTTTATTTGCCTACGACTTAAGCTTTATTTCTATCAATTTAAGGCTAACATCTATAAAACTGCCATATGAATACGGACCTTAACATCGGCAGAAAATCGCGAAAAGATCAAGAAACATGGTGGTTTGTGGGAAGCACACACACACACACACACACACACACAACGGGGGGGTGCGAGGGAGGGGCCTTTGGCTCCCCCTCCCCCGCACCCACCCCGCCGGTAGGCTGCGTGGACCTCGCTTTACAACATAAAGTACATGCTAAGTTGTAAAACGAAATTATAAAGTACATGCATGGGGGAGGGTGCAGGGGAGAAAAGCCTTTCTGTTCACGTGCGCTCACGCATGTAAGCCCCCTTGCACCCCTAACTAACTTAATGCTAATTTTTCTTTTTAAATTTAAAAAAAAATTAAGAACCAACAAACGTTGTAATTAGACCAACAATCACCAACAAACGACCTACAAACGATAAAAAAATATGAAAATTAATAAAGTCGAAGTTGACCGGCTAAGTTACCAGAGCTGACGACCGTAGTCGGATGAGCCACGAATAGAATGCTGTCCCAATGACATCGAAATTATCGGAAAACGGAATCGGAAAGGTGAGATGGTGGGGAGCTAACCCGCGATCAGAATGATTTCGTTGCGTATTTTCACATCTGGGTTCTCCATGGCGATCATTTTTCGGAATGGAATTTATGAATGTGCGTAATAATTCAAATATCTGGCGGTCATTGTGATAAGTTGCTGTTGTATTTATATTTTATTTTGATTGAAAAATGGGAATATGATGTCATCTGCTGTAAGTATTGTAATTATGAGATACGTGTGCTAAGTTAGGTTATAATGTTGATATATTGATGGTCTAGCATACATTTCTAGCCTAACATACATATACAATATGCTTGTAGCAGTTTCAATTTACGTAAAATTTAATTACTTTAATTATGTATATGATGTTATTTATTTATTATTAGACAGCAAAATGTGATTACTGCGGATGGTTGTTGAAAATGGATGCTATTTTGAAACATTCCTGTTTTGGTCTTTTTAACGCTGCATGTCAGATTCTAAGCGTGGATGAGGCTGGAAAAATTATTATGACAGATATGAAAAATTTTGTATATAGTATTTATGTAGTATATTGTATATAATATTTTTATGCAATGTAAACAGTACGAAATTTTCGTTCACACAATCAATAGTGAGTTTTTATTCTGAGTTACAATCAATAGTGAGTTTTTATTCTTATTGTAAAATTCCTGTAAAATTCGTAATTTATTGCATATTCCCGTAGGGTTCGCAATCTACTACCAATATTATCATTCTCCTCTCACTTTAACCCTTTGAACCAACGGCTTAACGTCTCTTTCCGAAAGATGGAGCCCAGTTTTCTCCGCACAAAAGCCTATCTTGCACGGAGGGGCACAGCTATCGAAAAAACATTCCATGCTCACATGGCTCTAGTGGACTCGAACCTGGTTCCTCAGATTACGTACGAGTCTGGCGTTTTACCACTAGACCACACTGCCGCCCTTTTTCCATTCTTATTGTTTAGATATCAATTTGATGGAGACAACAGGGGATGAAAGCCTAAATGATGTAACAGGGAATGAAAATAATGCTTCAGAACCACAAGAAGTAGATGAAGAGCTGATAAGTATAGTTCAACAACGACCAGCCTTGTATGATCCTCGTATACCACTTCAAGAAAGAACTAAATTAAAGAAAAAAGATCTATGGCAGGAAGTCAGTAATTGTCTAGGAGGTAAACTTATGATTCAACATTATCATTACATTCTTTTTATAAACATGTGTTTTTTTTAAATTAATCTTTTAGAAGTATCACCTGTTGGCGCCGAAAAAAGATGGCAATATTTAAGAGATTGTTATACAAAAGCTAGGAGAAATTTTAAGAAAATACAGAGCACTGAAAAAAGGAGTGGTGCCGCAGGTACTTCCATAAATGAAAGAAATAAACCATCTTTCCGCTATTACGATGCAATGAGTTTTCTTAATGATACATTAGAATATGAAGAGTAAGTTATATTGAAATGTGTTAAATGACATGTCGAATAATAACAACTAAATTTATTTTCTATTTTTTTTCCAGAACATGTACATCTTTAAGATTTCCAAACAGGAAAGACACAGCTCAAGTAACGAATAACCTTCCTGTTCAAATTCACCTATATATAGCTATGAATAACAGCAACGATTTAGAAAACAGGCCACCTTTAACATCACCGGGTATCTCTGAATTGTCTGTAGCGACTTCATCTTCACGAAGTTCGTGTTTAAAATAAATACACACACACATTAATATGAGGATATTGGAGTTTTTAATAATTTAATCTACTGTTTGGTTCCAGAAAGACAACATTCAAATAACATCGACGAAGTAGATAGAGCTTTTTTACAGACTTTAAGCACGAATATTCAACCTAATCCTATTGATGGGTTTATATTGGCAGAAGGAATGCGTCGACTTCCTTACAGGGAAAGGTCACAGTTAGCATTGGAGTTTTTAATAATATTGCGTGAAATGGAGGAAAAATTGGGACTATTAAATAATTAAGAGGATATCTGTTATATCATATATATATATGTGTATTATATTATACTTAAAGTTTTACAAAAAAATATTGTAGACGTTATAAAATAATGTACGTTCAAAAAACGTAAAGAATTCAAGACATTAGGGCGAGGTCCACCCTACCCCACCCTGGTTTGCTTATAGGGCGAAACGAGGTCTATTATATATTGCACGGTTCGGGTTTTCAACTTTCCATGCAAACCGAGGTCCACCTCCACTCACCCCTGTCTGCAAGGAAGAGGCGGTAGCTCCTTTCCCGCCTACATGTGTCCGTCTGTACACACAATTGAAGTATTATTTAAAAATTTATATTGTTTATTTTTAACACTGTATATCTCGAAAACTAGAACAGTTAGCCCTATATAAAACCTAATATAATTTTTTGTTTAGCGTAGAAAATACTACCAGAAACTATATCGTCAAATCAAGGGGCCACAATTATCGTAATCGTGTCTTCAGCGTTTCTAAATATCCAATTTATGTTAAAAAATCTGAGAAATTTTCTTAAAAAAAGGTATATTTACGTAGAAATTTTGAAAAATTAAGAGAATTTTAAGAAAATTTCTCACCAGAAAATTGTTATCATCATATATTATTATAAAGATTAAAATAAAAATATTAGAATAAAAAAGAAGAAAACTATATGTATATACATATGCTAATATTTTTGAAGAGGTCAATATAGCATCTCATCGGTGACAGAAACTGTAAAGGGTTAAAGTCACGGTCGTATACACAGGTCTGGCAACTCGGGCCGAATTTTAGTGGT